AGCAATATTTGGCACCCGTGGTCCACAAGACTTCCCTCGTGGCACGCAGTCAGTACCACAGCCAGGACAAGTTGGGACAATACAAATACGGTTACGCCGAACCCAATGGTGCCAAGGAGGAGACTCGTCACGCCGACGGCACCGTTGTTGGCACCTACTCGTGAGTTCGAAATCACCTTTACACCTTGTCTTGATTTGGTTTTCAATATTTTGTTCTCTTGAAATGATTGAAAATAATTTCATTCGGTTCAGCTGCCACTAACTTCTTTCTGTTCTTTGTGGAAACTGATCTTTTTTTATTACAGAAGCAGCAGAGGTTGAAAACTATTCTCTTCGAAGGTTTTTTTTTACGTTTCAAAAAATACGAAATGAATTATTGAATACGTATTTTTTAATACTGTACCTTCACAGGCACCCCCTGCCCGATGGCTCCATCTTGACCAACAACTACGTCGCTGACGAACACGGCTTCCGCTCGTCCCTGGCCCCGACCGCCCCCAAGGACTTCTTGCCCGTCGTCAAGGCCGCCTATGACGTGACCGCCCCGATTTTGGCGCACTCTGTCGGCGCCTATGCCATCCCACGACCAGACATCCACCTCACCATACCGTTGTTGGCACCTACTCGTGAGTTCGAAATCACCTTTACACTTTGTCTTGATTTGGTTTTCAATATTTTGTTCTCTTGAAATGATTGTAAATAATTTCATTCGGTTCAGCTGCCACTAACTTCTTTCTGTTCTTTATATAGGAAAACCGAGCTTTTTTTATTACACAAGCAGCACTGGATCAACACTATTTTCTTCGATGGTTTTTTTTTCTTACATATCCTAAAATTCGAAATGAATCATTGAATACGTATTTTTTAATTCTGTACCATCACAGGCACCCGTTGCCAGATGGCTCCATCTTGACCAACAACTACGTCGCTGACGAACACGGCTTCCGCTCGTCCCTGGCCCCGACCGCCCCCAAGGACTTCTTGCCCGTCGTCAAGGCCGCCTATGACGTGACCGCCCCGATTTTGGCGCACTCTGTCGGCGCCTATGCCATCCCACGACCAGACATCCACCTCACTAAGCGAGTCGACGCGTACCTCCCAGCTCCGTCTTATGCGTACCCCGCCTACATCAAGCCTGCTGGCCCCTACGGAATGGGGCTACCAGCGGACCGGATGCCTGTGATAATTCTTCACAAAAAAAATATCAATTCCATGTATCAAAAAATGCTTGACTTTTGGTCGTTCGCAAAGAAAGCTTCAATCGTTGTGGAAAAAAAAATGCTTGTTTTTCGCCTCACGCCGAAGTTGTTATTGTCCCACTTCTATAGTTTCCTCTGTATTCTTGCTGTCGTTTGTATTTCTCGTACAATGAAAACGAAATGAATATTGCGAAATGGAAATTACGAGATTTACTTACCAATGATTCACCAAATTAATCCTCGTTCTTCCACGACGAGTTGGAGAACAGAACTCGAAGACAATCGTTTCATAACTCATAGTTTGCAATTATCTGTATATATTCTGAAAAAAAACCGAGTATAACGGCTAGTTTCATAACTGAAACTAACAAAGTTTTATGTACCATGGCGAAATAAAAAAGTAGGAAATCTTAGAAAGACATAAAATGTCTCCAGAGTTGTTTCCATTCTGCATATTTTTAGACTGATCCTGACTTTTTGGAGTTCATACACGATACACCTCACTCAACGACTTATGTCCAATCTATATATGCAGTAGAATTAAGGTGTCAATCGTTAAACCAAATAATGCGATTTTAGCAATCGCAACCTGTAGTTTCAAGGAAAAGTTATGTTTCTTTCCTTGGTATTAATTTCAAGAAAAAATTTATGCTTCCTTAGTATTCTCGAAAATTGTTCATTTAAAATTCTACCAGACGAGGCGAAGGTTATGTTTGCTTGCCTTGATTTTTCATTTCCTCTGCAGGATGGTAGACAAGATCATGAAGCAAAAAGGCTAACTTCAAGTTCAAAGCAAAGATATTATATTTGTAGTGATGACATAAAAACAAAGGAAAACGATTCGAATTTTTTTTAAACATGGAACTTCATTCCACTTATGTCAGGATAAGCAGTCTAAAAATACTTGTCTTGTTTGAATGCATTTCAACGATATCAGTGCCATTGGCATAATGCATATTCTATGATTAAAAATATATGCATCCTATCAAACCTGCATTTGCTGGAAGCAGAAGGCGCACAAATAAAATTAGTGATTGAATAAAATCTTGCACAGTGGTACCTTGTACCACAAATGCTCCAGAGCTAAATTTGTAGTATGATTCATTTTTATACAAGTACAATTTCCCATAGACTTCTATGGAAAATTGTTTAATTGGTTCCGAGCAGAAAAAACTATTTTTTTTAGTAAAATAACAGTCCTATACTGTTTTTGTGTGACCATTGTCACATGCAATGATGACTGTTGTTGCACGTGACAATGGTCAGGCATCATGCAATGATGTCTTTGAACAGAATTTGTCATCACATGCAACAATGGTCATTTGACTGCTGTTGCATGCAACAAAGGCCACATATACTTCTGTGCTCGGAGACAATTGTCTCAGAACACAGACATTTTCACATATGAAAATGGTCAAACAACGATTGCTGCATGCAAAAAAGCAAAGAAAATTATGTGTTTTGAGACAGTTGTCTCAGAACACAGAAATGTCCACATCCCAGCAAATAATCTGGGCATCTGGCATTTGGGCATGGCTAGGGATGGACTGCCTAGGCATTGGAGATGTGCATATAGGAAGTCTCTTGCCTGGACGCCCTTTTGAAGGAGGATGCATCCAGCAGGATTCCCTAAAAGATGGGCATCTGAGAACCATCCATGGGTACATTCCCAGAACCATTAGAGTTAGAGAACCACCCTTGGGGATGCTTGTGCTTCCCCAGACCCATCCCCCAGGATGTCATATATCTGCTGTATGATAATGTATGCCCAGCATGCCCACACATCATCTTGTCTGCCCTCTGCATCCCCTCAAACCGTTCCTCCCTGCATTATTGGTACTTTTTACTTTATTGATTTTCATTAGTCATTTTCATGAAGCAAACATGTGTTTATGTATACAGTGAGACCCCCACATGCAGACACCTCAACCTGCAGAGAATTTGATATTGGGACACTTATTTTCCCTGAAAAATTAATAAAAAAGGCCTGACATGAGGACACTGACTCAACTTAGAGACATTTTGTGATGAAATTGCAAATACATTTCAGGCAAAATTACAAGAAACAGATATTTCCAACCCTAAAATTTATGTAAGTAAAGTTCTTGGGCATTTTTCTCACTTATTTTTCATCCATTTAGCTAATTTTTAAAAATTACCTCCAGCATAGAGGGACTTCCGCATTTTTTTCACTTGAATGTTTTTTTGTGGATACCAAAATTTCAATGTGCAGTACAGCACTATTCAATGCTCCAAATGTTATTATTGAGTTGAAACTTTATTCATTCATTCAAATTCAAGTGGCAAATATTTTTTTCAGGGAATTCTGAAGAATATTTCTCCCATTAAACACCAATTAAAAATTAAAAATGTAAGTCTATGGGAAAAAAAGACTCAACTTAGGGACAATTTGACTTAGGGACACTCTTGATGCACCAATTATGTCTGCATCTCAAGGTCTCACTGTATATGTATTATATTCCCATACATGGCATGCACACAGCAGCATAGCAATGCAGCATATGAAACATTGCTTTCAGCATGCATTTTAATAATATAGATGGGCAAATAATATGCAAGAAAGCATAAAATTTGATGAATTTCATTTGCAGTACAGTTGAGTAATTCTCCATGTGTCCAAAATGATGCACATCTAAATTTTTGCATGAGTCTGAAATACTGTATATGTAAAGTAATTAAAAACAGAAAGCCACTAAGTATAGCTAAACAGTATAAATATGTACACTACATATACATGCTGTGTTTTTATGCTGTAATTTGTTTGGTTTCAGTTGGTCAGCATCTCATGATGTCAACTAAATGAGTCAACTGACAGTCAACCAGAACCTGATTGTGCCTTCTTCCCCTCTCACAATGATGTCCTCTTACAGGCATGATGTGTGTATAATGGGGTTGATCATTACATATTTGCCTTACAAAGTCTTGCAAAGTCTGTTGGTAGTCTGACTTATACAAGGGGTCTAAAAAAGTTCTTGGAATAGTAATTAAAGTGGCATAAACTTTAGCTGTAAAAATTGTTCTTCAGGGAAAACATGTTCTTTGGCATAAGAAAAAATCAGCCCTGTTGCCAACTTTTTTGTATTTGTTTTGAAAAATTCATCCTGGCAGAGTTTTGCTCTCCACTCAAAAGATGTGGCACCCTTCCTGCAGATTGTCTTGTTGTAGCCCAGCTTTCCTCTTCAGAATTCTTGAAATCAGCATGGTATTAATTCCAAGGGTTGCCTCCAGGTCTTCCGCGATTTTCATGAACAGCTGCCTTCACGGCCACCAAAAAAGTGGGCAATGTGTGGCAGCTGTGAAGGTGGCTGTTGATGAAATGGAGATTGTTGATGAAATAGATTGTTGATGAACAATCTCTCTATTTTGCATTTTATGGGACAGCTTAAATTCAAGGAAACTTAATTCACCTGTTGGGGATTAGCTAAATGTCCTCTCAAGCTAAACATCCATATAATTGAGTCTGACATTTCATATTTTGGGATTATATGAAATGCTAGTACAGTATATAAAGGATTAAAATTTTTCTTAAACTGTAATCATTGCATCACTCAGCTCCTGGGGGATTTAGGACATGCTTTAAGGTTCAGAACTGGGCAATAATCTCAGTCTGGGCCCTGATATTCATCAAAGGTGAGGTGAGATTTGTTGGTTTTATTGCTTCCAGCTTCCTCAATGTCACAGGCACTGATTTATTTGGCTGCGGTATTTATTTAGTGCAATAGGACCCAGTTGCAAAGCATTCATGGCATAATAGCAGCACACAGGGACCCAAATGCATCATGTTGTCTTTAAAGCTCAGTGGTTAAGCTGGTGTGCTCTGGAGTTGTGGGGTCCAAGTTCAAATCCCTGAAGAGCGTGCAAATTTTCCTTGCTTTGTCTTGTTAATGTTTGTGTCTGTGTGTCTGTCCTTGTATGTGATTGCCTCTCCTGGTATGTGTGAGTATAATGCATATGATCAAACCCTTTCTTCTAACAACAAACATTACAGAATATAAGCATGTTGGCCAACAGATTTTGCAAGGATTTGTAAGGCAAATATATAATGATATACCCTCATTACAGCACAGACACTTGTTGAGCCTGCAGAAGAAAATTGTTGTAAATGGGAATAAAGCATAACAATTCCTTCAATCCTGCAGCAAAATTTGATGGAAAACACTGTCTACTGACAGACATAAAAGAATAGAAGTCTCTTTGGACAGACTTGCAAGACTTTGTAAGGCAAATATCTAATAATCAACCCTCATTAGACACACAAGATGCCTGCAGAAGATCATGGTTGCAAGAGGCATAAAAGCATAATTTTTATAGCTGTATTTTATATGAGTCTGTCTGGCAATGGACTCCATGAGGGTATGGCACCTCCAGATGGTTGCAATAAAAAATGAGGAGGGGGCTGTGCGTGAAGGGCCCATCTTATAGCACATGGGCCCAGGGATGCCCAGATTAACTGCTGGGATGTGACAGCAGTCAAATGACCATCCTTGCATTTGACAAAGGCCACACAAATTGCTGTGTTCTGTGACAATTGTCTCAGAGCAAAGAAGTTTTTACTTAGAAGAATGGCCAAATGACTGTTGTCAAAGGCCACACACATTTCTGTGTTCTGGGAGAATTTTCTGACAACACAGACATTTTTACATGCAGCAATGATCAAATGACCATTATCCCATGCAAAAAAAGTGCAAAAAAATTTCTGCGTTCTGAGACAAATAATGAAGCAATCAGACAAAAAAAGGAAAAAGAAGAGAGAGAGAGAGAGAGAGAGAGACAAGAGCCATTGAAATTGGGACAAGGAAGTAAGGCCATGGCGTGAATGACTTGTGCGATTGAGGGGTTTGGAGAACCGGAAACTGTTTTTTTGGGCGAGGCGATGAGAGAGTTGATCTGCTGGGGCTTATAAAACAGACAGGGAGGGTCCGGAGCAGACATCAGTTGCTTCTGTAGTTTGCCTGAGACTTCACGGTTAGCTATAAGCAAGCCAGCTGCATTTTTTCGTGTGCCACACTCGTCAATTAAACAAAAAATCACCGAAATTATCATGAACTCTCTGGTAAGTGTCTGACGAAATTATCTGGAAAATTATAAACTATTGAAAATTTCCACGTTTAACTTCACATTTTATTGACACGAATTCAAAGCATGGATCGCGCAATTTCGAGCCATCATAAATGTCAGGAGTTAGTTGAGATCGAATAAATGGAAAAATTCGAATAATTCTGCCCTAATGCGACGTGATCTGGACCTTCTCAGCAGTTTTGAAAAAAAGCAATCCTATGTAGAAAGCCATACTTTTCCTTCAATTTATGTGTATTCCTTCAAGTCTTTCGAAAAAAAAACCCTGAATCTGAAAGTTTGAAAAGGAATTGAAGTTTCGTCTTGCATTCTCTCTAGAATAACTGTTTCGGCGGTCAATAAGAATATTAATGAAACATAAGGTGATTTCAAATCTCAAGAATAATTCTCTGAAATTCAAGAGTGAATAATAATAAGTAAGGCAGGATTTATAGCTAAGTGTATTTGATTTTGATGGAAAAAAGAACTGCGGAGAGTTCGTGTGAAAATATAAAACCCAATTTATATGATATCGTTACTCATAATTTTAAAATTATTTAAAAAAAAAGACCGCCCTGGTGTCTAAATAGAGGAAACAGACGTGCCTGATGAATTAATCTGTATAATATTTTAAGGAAAAAGTTGTTGAATGAAAATCAAGAAGTCCCCTAGTTTAAAAACAAATTTCCTGAACACTGAAGGATTCCTGAGACAACCCTGAACCATCTGCCAGACATTTGTCAAATAAATGTTCTCAAGTTAAATGCCACGGTCACAGAGGTTAAAATTAAAATGCTCACACAAACAAAATTATTCTATTCAAGTTCGTTTACGTTTCCAAGTTTCTTGGAATTTCGGTTTCTGCTGCTGCATTGTACTCATCCGACAAGGATGTATCTGTATATCCGCGAATAGATCTTGTTGCCGTTGTGCTTCGCTGCCTGCATGGCCAGCGTGTTCCCTGTCGGTCTCCACAAGCAGTACGTGCACCACGAGCACCTCGTGGCACCCGTGGTCCACAAGACTGCCCACGTGGCACGCAGTCAGTACCACAGCCAGGACAACTTCGGGCAGTACAGCTACGGATACGCCGTTCCCTGTTGGTCTCCACAAGCAGTACGTGCACCACGAGCACCTCGTGGCACCCGTGGTCCACAAGACTGCCCACGTGGCACGCAGTCAGTACCACAGCCAGGACAACTTCGGGCAGTACAGCTACGGATACGCCGAGCCCAACGGTGCCAAGAAGGAGACTCGTCATGCTGACGGCACCGTTGTTGGTTCTTATTCGTAAGTTTCAGAAGAAAATAACCCTATAACCCTACCATTCTTTTAATTTTTTTGAGCGACGAAAGAGTATTCGATTGAGTTCCACAAAAGATTTTAGAAAAAAAATTAAAGTGCCACGAATCATTTTTCGAAATTGTCGTTGAAAAAGAAACGCACTTGGGATTATCTGCGACGTCAGCCCAGCTTTTTATTTTCTTTGATGAACTTCCCATAATAAGTGTAAGCAATGCAGTATACCTACGGAAGTTTACCGTGTACTGATCATGTATATATATGTGCAAATTTTTTGTCCGGAGACCGTTTTCACCATTTCGAAAATGGCTTTCTACTTTGTTAGAGTGTCATTTTCGAAGTGGCCAGAAATTAGAAAAAGGTACTGATGAACTCTCTCTTCGACAAAATCAAAGGTACCGTGGAAAAATCCTAATATACAAGGAAATCTATGTACACAAGATCCTTGTACAGAGAGTACACCCGGAATGAGAATTATTAAAAAAATCCGTACAATGCCTTTCCACGTTGTAAGTTCCAAGCCGAATTTATCGAATAAATTTAAACTCGTCAACGTGGAAATTGCAAAAAAAGTCTCTTGTTTCCAATGCCAACGATCAAATCGAAAAAGCGTTGATCTGATTTCTTTTTTCCCCAGAGAGTAGAAAATCCGAGTACTGAAACATATAGACAAATAACAGCGCGGATAAACCCATAAAACCATAAATCATTCAGCCATTGTACAGAAAGGATACCGGGATTTTCGGCTTTGAAATAGTTCGTTCAAAGACTAGTTTTAATGGAGAAATGACAACGCCAATAAAACATTTGCTGTACAGTACCGTGCTCGTACATTTTGAAACTTTCTTCGTACAGTGGTTCTTACATCCCTCTAATCTTGCTAAGGGGGTTGTATACGAAGAGTGAGGATCTACTTGTTCCAGAAAAAAGGCTCTCTCAGTTTCCTCTTTGAAACTGGAATTTTTCCTCATCGAAAGTTACTCGCTTTTTAGATCAAATGATCCAGGAAATATGTTTCGCAACATTTTCTCCACATACGAAATCACTTCTCGGATAAAAGAGGAGTACTTTGATGTCCTTCAAATAATTCGAGCATGTAGTGGACTGGCGACTTTCGCATTCAGTAGGGCAATAGGTTCCACAAATTTAGTAACCTGACTCGAAACGAATTTAACAGAACAGTGATTAAAAATTTTTTGACATGCAAATATAGAAAGACCGTCAGGTATCACAAAAAGAAATTACGTGAATGTTGGAATACCTAGCAACTTGTTTTCAAACCTTAATTGAAGCACCTGAAAAACATTCGCGGAGATTAAACAAAAATATGCATATGCAGTACTGTGCAAAAAGATCATATCTCCCATTATGTGAATAAGGTTGTATTATTCTCAATTATCTGATGCTGCTGATGAGTCAAACCCCCTTTTTCTTTCATTCCAACGATGAAACTAAATTTCTCGATTAGAAAGTTTTGTTCTGCAAATTTCCTTATTATCTTTACAGTCACCCGTTGCCCGATGGCTCCTTCTTGACCAACAACTACGTCGCTGACGAATACGGCTTCCGCTCTTCCCTGGCCCCGACCGCCCACAAGGACTTCGCGCCCGTCGTCAAGGCCGCCTACGACGTGACCGCTCCCATTGTGGCCCACTCTGTCGGCGCCTATGCTGTCGCACGACCCGACATCCACCTCACGAAGCGCGTCGACGCCTTCGTCCCGGCTGCTGCTTATGCTTACCCGACTTACGCTCAGCCTGCTGCCTATGGCTACGGTGTCCCAGCTCTGGCCCCAGCATACAACGCATACCGCAAATATTACTAAGTCTTTTGCACGGATGAGAAAGAAAAAAAACCTGGTGATTTTTTGAGAATTCGGGTCCTTGATTGTATAGAGGACACGAGTTCTTGAAAAATTGCTTCTAGTTCAGCGTGTTTTTACGTCCTTCTGATGAGGACCTGGTTGTTGCGAACCCGGGTGGAAACGTTTTTATTTTGTACTCTGACGTGTCTGCATATTCCTGT